CGCCTATTTTCCTTCTCTATTTCTTATCTCTTTTTGTCTGGTGTTCCAAATTCTTTGAAGAGGAAGCGAGTCGACCGCGACGACAATGTCCGAGAAGATCGTGGCAATCTCTTATTTTCCGCGCGACCGATCCGCACGGTGCGAATTGGAAAACGCGAGCAGAAAGAAAATCAAGTCGATAAGAGGGAGGAAGGAAGGAAGGAAGGAAATAAAAAAAGAATAAAAATAGATGGCGAAAGAAAAGAAGGACTCTAGGAGGATTTTCGTTTGGCGACGTTCCACGCTTCTGTGAAATCCTCCATATCACCACCACCACCACCATCATCCTCCTCCTCCTCCTCTTCCCGTACTAGAAAAGATAATATACGTTCACACTTATATAAGGTCTCATGCGTGAGACGAAGAAATAGAAAGAGAAAGAGAGAGAAATAACAGGTAAACGCACGATATCTTGGATTTGCGCGACACCGTATGAGGTGTGGAAAGGTCGACTTCGGGTTGAAAGCTTTCCTCTTTGGTTTGAGGATCGATTTAATTCTACCGACACTTTCCCCTCCTTGAAAAAAATCTTACGCTTCGTCGGATTTATATTCTTTTTCTTCTTTCTCTTTTTAACCGATTGCGTAAAACTCATTGAACTCGTTGAAAATAGGATGAAAGTACGGTGGTCGAGGGTGATATGAGAAAAAAAAAAAAAAAAGAGGAAATAAGGCCGCGACCAACCATCCCGTAATAATATCTACTGGCACGTTCGAATGAAATTATCTACGTTGCCTCGGCTAAGAACATGGATCATTGCTATCGCGAAAAAGGGAGAGAGAGAGAGAGAGAGAAAGAGAGAGTGGAATTTTGCTAAGGAAAGAAAAAAAGGGGATGATTATTACAGTATCGTTGGTTCGCTACTTTTTCTTTTCTCTTTCGTCAAAAGCAATACGGGGGGGGGCGGGGGAAAAAAAAAAGAAAATTCGCAAAGTGGAAATAAGTGGTACGCCAATTTAATGATCAAAACGAAGTAATATTCGTTCTTGTTATATTATGAATGTTATAGTGGATATTAATCCTTTAATATGATTAATGAAATAATTATTAAACCATTAAATATTAAATCTCCAATAGAGCTTAAATTACTTTCAATTCTAAATCGAATATTTCATATTTAATGACCTAATATTTCGATGAGAATCGCAAAGAAGAATTTTTAATTGAACGAACTCGTTGAAAATACCGAACCTCATTCATTAAAAGATTCGTGATAATACGAATGAATGAATGAATGAATGAATGAATGGTAGATGATACGAATTTACTTGGATCCTATAATACAATTAAATCGTTGGTTACTTTTGTGAGAAATAAATTTTATTAACTCTATCTTATCGAAACACGACATTGATTATTTATAGAATTATAGATTTGTTTAAGAGAAAAATACGTAGAAGATATTTCTCTCGATAAAAATCCAATTAAAAAATGTTTCGAGAAAGATGGATAATCAATCTTAACTATTATCGCCTATGTTCTATATTATGTTCGAGACATCGATCCTATTTAGAAATTGTATCAGATCAGATAGGATTACCGATCTGTCCTACATAAATATTAATTGCTCGGAATGTAAGCATGCGACGTTAAGAGACTGCGGTAAATCGTTCGTCGGCTTTTGTTCCCCCATTCGCTCTCGCCTATAAATCTCGTAGTAGAGAAAGGGTGAAGTAGGAGGGGTAGAGGGAGGGAAAGGATGCGTCGTGACCAGTGTCCCAGGTGGTCCGCATCTGCAGAGAATAGGTACTTTATACACTTTCTAAGATGTACGGCACGACCTACCCAAAATAAATGTTCCTTTCTCCCCCACCTCTCTATTTCTTTCTTTCTTTCTTTCTTTCTTTCTTTCTCTCTAATACATTCTCACTCGACGTTCACAATTAAAATTCGATTAGCAATGAATGACGTTAGAAAGAGACTCTTCTATCTATTTTCTAAAAGAATTCTAACTGCTTTAGATCAGTAATGACTTAGAAATATTAGTAAGGAATAAAAAGTATGTTTAACAATATAAGTTAAAATTAATGATAAAGACGTTGAATGAAAATATTTGTTTTTCTATTGTAGATAATATTTATTTATAAATAGAGAAAGAAAATCTAAAAAATAAAATAAGAATTTTTTTTTGCACAAATTCGAATTACGATAGGATCGATACAAGACATTTCAACGTTTCCATCGTTTGGTTTGTCTTACATCGCGACGCACGTAAAACACGTACAGCACGTACGCGTGGGTGAGCTTGTAAGGGGTTATATATATATATATATATATATATATATATACGTATCGATAGGTAACGAGAATAAAGAAAAAAGAAAAGAAATCCAACGATACTCGTGGATTGGACTCAGCGAAGTGTATAATAATCTAGAAGAAATAGAAAAGAAAAAGAAAGATTGGAATGATCTCTCTCTCACTCTATTATACTTTGTTTTCTTTTTCTCATTCGACACCGACTCTCGGAGTCTCTTCCGTAACCCTCAACCCCGATGAACGCAATGAAATCGGTCGGCCTCGAGACTGAGCTCCATTAATAATCGTTCGATGAACACGCTCCTATAAGTTTACGCTCTTGCGTTCTACATTCAGATTCACCCTTTATACTGAGAACTATAAGTATAACTTTTCTTTCCTTTTATTAGCCACACCATTTTATAAGGGGACACTTTTAATAATCAACGTATACTTACAATGATAACAAATAACTATGGGGTAATAATGGATAAGAATCTATCTATTGTATTGATATCAAATATTTTCCATCAAATTATTCTTTTCTCTCTTTCTTCTTTTTTTATTTGTTGTTTTTTATTAAAGAAAGTAATCTAAAATGTGGTGTAACGAGCGCAAGTTTCCATTCAGTTTACGCAGGAATGGTCATTGATAAAAAAAAAGAAAAAAAAAAGAAGATTTTATTCGTGATTTCACGTTTTAAACGAAGCCCCAAAACGATAGGACTCGTAAAGCTCGGTAAACGTTTCAACGGAAAGCTCTCGTTGGTATATTAGCCATCGCACGTTACAGTTTTGATCGTATGCATTCGTGAAAATACGTCAAATTCGTATAGTTCACTGCTCTCTTTCTCTCTCTCTCTCTCTCTCTCTCTATCGATGCGTTTTCCAAATTGGACACTCAATAGGATTGTTATTGAACTCATCGCTTCGTTCGTCAAGATGATTCCTACATCATCCAGATGAATCGATACGATAATGGTTCTCCTCTCATATTGATTATTTGCCGTTAATAATTACAGTGTTATTACAAATATATCGTTTTGCAAGTATACATTTATCTATCCTATTCTTCTATTGATGAAAATTATTTAACCAATGTTTAGATATCACTGGCTTTTTAATTAATATTATTAGAACGATACCTTACACATTCATTAAATATCATCAAGAAAAATCCATTCATTATTGAAACGCGATTATAAAAATTATTAATAATATGACCGTACTTATGTTTATAAAACTATAAGTTTAGTCAACGAGATGAAAATAAATTACAGAGACGTATAGGAATAAAAATGATCGATAGTTAATAATCTATATTTTCTATAGATTTTATTCGGTATCGTTTGTCGATCGAATCAACATAAGTGTCGGTTGAATTATTTAAAATGATGAAAAATGTAATTATCGAATATGGTCTCGATAAAATAAATAATTTTGTAGAATTTCAAAGGTAACATTACACATACCAAATACACCTATACTCTCTTTATTTATTCTTCTATGTCGTCTCTCATTTTCTCTTATTTCGAGTCAATATCATTATTACACGAATATCGATTGATTAAAGAATGAACGTTACTCAAGTGTTTTCGATGAAATTATAAAAATACGAGCACGCTTGTTTATATTAATTCGGAAGTGAAGCGTGTCGAATAATTAATATCGAAGTGTATAGGTTGGCTCGGCTCGATATTACAATTAGCACTTTCATATATGTGGTCGGAACGAACATTATCTACGCGTTAAACCTGCAATCGAATAAACTAAAAGCTTTGATTTCACAGTGTTAATGATGAACACAATACTAATAACAGGATTGGTTTCACATAGCATGCAACACAGATATGAAATAGTTGTTGGAAATCTTCAAAAACTCATATATAACTGTCGAAGGCACTAAGGACACTTAGGTTTCTTAGGGTAGACAATTTATGACAAGGGCTGGTTACCATCCAAACACTCAGATTGAATGGACTTAAACCCGAAACAATTATTGTCAGTGTTCCTATTCTTCAAAAGAGTATAAACAGCTCTTAAAGAAGTAAATTATTCGAAACTTCCTGAACAATTTCGGATCTACTAGTCATTGCCTGAAATATAGCTTACTTTAAAAGACATTGGTCCAGAGACCAACCAATCGGAAGGAATAAATTTTCTTAATTAACAAAACGAGTTTTCCTTCTAAAACGAAATTAGCGAGAAATATAAACTCGATATTATTTCAAATATTACAATTTATTTTCTTAATTATTTAACTTGTCAATTTAGTGAATATTAAAATATAGTTATAACCGTTAACTATCGAAATTATTAAAACTTAATCAGACATATTAGTTTTCATTACCCATAATAATATATGATCAAACATAACCTTGCATAATTTAATATTGTCACGAAAAGTGATAGTACACCATGAGAACGAAATGCAATTTTCGTGCAAACTGGTATCCCGTGTGAAAGTCGATCGAACGGAAGAACAATCGAGTTTCAAAAGGGTCTATAGTATAGTGTAACGACTTGGTAAATTCATGTACATGCACAGGTAGCGGAGATACGACGATTTCTATCTTTCGCGCACATAATTTCCTATACCTTTACTCGTGCTACCCCCTATTCGTATTTCCAGTTATCTATGTACAAGCATGGAGAAAATCTAGATCGCTTTTAAAGCGACGAGATTCTCACGCGAGCAAAGCTTACTTCTTACTATTTTCTTACCTATATTTCGCGCGACGACTGTACGACCACTGCTGGTTAATAGCCATGCAAGGAGCAACCCACCGAGCAGACCTTTCCGTCGACCCTTGCGGCACTCCATGGCACTCAGATTTCGTGCTCCGACTACGCCTGCAAACAGATAACAATAATTTTTTTTATTACTAGTCGATTCTTCCAAATATTTTCAAGTGGAACTCTTAAAACGACGATAATGATACAATTTTATGAAACAACATGCAAAAATAAAGTATGATAGAACCCACAAACGATCGACAGTTATACGAGATTATGAAAAGTTCTAATATTAGTTGGTGTGTGTGTGTGTGTGTGAGAATTAATTTAATATCTATTAAAGTAAGAATGATACAAAGTATATTTATTTGATATTTGTTGGATTATTATTTATAAAATTTTCAACTCAAAGTCATCACTGACCAGTATTTTAATTTAAACAATCCTATAAATATTGGTAAAGTATATTAGAATGTTATATATACCTTAAATGATTGTTAATTAATCGAAGGAAATGTATATTGTAGTTTAAAAGCACGGAGTATAAGTTCGACGCACCATTCTCTTCGAAATTCATTGTTAAACTGACACATTGTTCTCTCTGTGAGAGTCAATTAAAATTCTTCTATTGATTCTTGTTTATATGACTTTCCGAGGGAATACATTTTATTTACTATGAATATTATTTTTGTTATATGTATGTAGCCTTTGGAAAGTCATATAAACAAGAATAACGATGGATTCCGAAGAGAAATTTTCTCCGTTTTCAATGTTTTATCAACACGCATAATATTAAGATACATTATTTTTGTATTTGTTTATAATTCACTTTGTTTTTAGTAAAACTTTCAAGTTAAATTATTAAAGTATTTATTTTTAAATTGTATTCATTTTAAACATTCTATATCAATAATTTTCAAAGAAAAATTTAATAAGCGTTATGGTGTATGATTTTAAGAGAAACTCACTGTATACATATATGAATCAATTGATTATTTTCCACGTGATAATACGAGTTTCATTTCTCTATCGTGTATGAAGACCACGCATATTCTTTTTTTATTATTAATTATTCATTTTTATTAATTAGTTATTATAGAATGCTAAAAGGTAGATGTATAACATGTAGTATATACAATGAAAATTTACATCAATTTAAAAGTTTAATAATATTGAAATATGTTTCCGTGTATAAGAATTTTAAATTATTATTTTGCAAGAAAATATTAATTGTTTTTAAATTGAATACTGAATCACTGTATATTTGAAACACAGATTTCACCACTTACAACAGAATCAGTTGGTCACTAGTTGATCACTGAACTAGTTTTAATACTACTTACACATGAAGTTACAAACTGAGACTGACTTTCGTCTCTTGGGAGTTGGTTATATCAATCCTGATCCACACGCACACGTGTAATATTTATGTGCATACGTTATTCAATCGTATCCTTTAATGACAAAACACTCGGCACGTTCTAAAGATAAGATATCATTGTTCGTCGAATTTCAACCGCTATCGTTGTTCCTCTGTTCATATTTATCTTTCAGACGCCATACTAAGCGATTGATATTATATTACCCATTTATTTTATTATTAAAAATAAAGAATAATTCTACACCATAAAGGATAATAAATAATCTAATAATTCAATATACAAACGCGTATTTTCTTTCAGTTAGATTTTTTTTACTTTATAAATATTTCTTTAATATACAATTTCTTCAACGATAAAACGAAAAATATAATCTACCCAGCATCTTATCCTAAAAGAAAAGCTTTTCTTATCAATACGCATCTGGCCTATCAAGAATGAATGCCATAAATCAGCTTAATCCGAGAGCCGATAAATAAAACAAGTAAAGAAATAGGGAATGAAGGTGTTTGCGTTCGTATATATGTGCGTGTCAAAAAAAAGTACAGCTTGGGTTAGATGAAAGGAGTAAAGGGAAGGGGTTTGGGGAGAGGGGGGGTTGGGGGATGGGAAAAGAGTCGTGGGTCGAATGTATACGTGAATGTGGGTTAACGAAGGCAAAAAGGAAAACAGTTTCGGCATCAGCATTTCGGCGTTTACCGAGCGTCGCACAATAGGATACCTTCGAATGAAAACATTCTCTACTCTGGTTTGCACGAGAGCGAAAAGATGAGAGAGAGAGAACGAGAGAAAGAGAGGAGAGGATAAAAGAGAACGGCATACGCAGGGAGATGGAAATAGAGCGAAAGAGCGCCTCTGGCGTAGAATCCTCTTTTTCGATCCTCCCCCTCTCGCCAACCCTTCTTCACTCTTCCACCTCTCTTTCTCTCTTCGATCGTTGCACCCACGTTTCGCGCGTTACCACAGGACGAATCGTGAAAATGCACGGGCCATCGCGCCGAAAACATCATTTTTCGGTAAAACAACGCGCATAGTTCTCGAAAATAGAAAAAGAAAAAGAAAAAGGACAAAATGTGCACGAGGAAGAAAATACATGTGAATATGTATATATTTGTATATTTATGTATATACGTAGTAGATATGTGTGTATATATTTGTATATTTATGTATATACTATATGTATATTTCTTTTTTTTTCATTCGTTAGCGCAAAGTCAGGTCTTGCAACGCGCGCGTACGTAGATCGTATTTTTTTTTTTTTTTGTATTTATTTGAAACAAATTTTGAAGTACAGAAGATGAAGCGCGACGACGACGAACGAATGAACGAACGATGGTGTGTATATACGCATTAAAAATCTAGCGTCTTTCATACGCGAAATTTCCTTTCGTATATTTCTCTTTTTTTTTTCTTTTTCCCTACGACTCCCACTCGATGGCATTCGCGAAAAATTAATGACGAGGTGCAAGCATACATACATTCGCGAAAACTCACGAGCGAGCAAACGACGAGCGAGCTTTGTTTCTTTTTTCTTTTTTTGCATGCTCAGTGCATTACGCTATTGCTTCTAAGAAGGACTGAAATAAAGAGGAATAGTAAGAAAGAAAAAGAAAATGAAAAGAGGAAGAAAGAAAGAGAAACACATCTCGTCGTCATCGTTCTTGCATTTACTATGGAAAATTGTTTTAACGCGTATTGTTTCATCACGCGTTGTTGTTCTAACACAACGCGCATCTTTCATTCTTTCTTTCTTTCTTTTTTTCTTTCTTTTTTTCTTTCTTTTTTTCTTTCTCTCTCGCACGCTTTAATCCCTGCGAAGTGCAACTGCAGCTCTCGGGTTATCATCATACACGTCATAAACATACACATTAAATGCTAGAAACCTTCTAGCTAAAAAATATGATTCGTTGTTTTACTGTTATTAAATATATCTATCTACATATATTCATTCTTAATGCGAACGAAATAATGAATATAAAACGTTTGAGAATATAAATTGTTAGAAAATAACAGTACAGTAGTAATTTAATACTCGCTATGTTGCTGTACCGTAATAACGTGATCGAGATTAGTCATCGTAATTCGTTTAGAAAAAAAAAAAAAACAAGTAACAATTCTTTAAGAAAAGCTCTATATATCTGTTTGGTGAGATTAGATTCTACGGGGTAAGAGTTAACTGTTCTAATCATTGAGATTAGAAGTGATCGTATCGCGATTAAATCCATTTACAAACGGGTAATCCGAGACGGAAAGAAGACCAGCAACTTAATAGATGTACGTACGTAGTCGACTGCTCTCGTAAAGGAGAGACTCGTTTGATCCTGTCTCTACTCTACGAGATACATACATCCGAACATTGTAGTAGACTGAAGTAACATTATTACACTACCACTATTACTGTAAGATAGATAGATAAATAGATAGATAGATAGATAGATCCAATCGAACGACCATCCACCAGCACGGCCATCCAATATTCCGAATTTTTCCAATGGCTCTAATTAAGTCGTGCACTCTCGTTCTCGAGTTTGTACCGAGAAACCGAGGTCTCTCCCTCCCTTCCCTCCCCCTACTACCCCCCTCGTTATTCCGTTGGCATTCGAAGCTGGTTAATACGCTCGGCAGGATTAACGTGATTATCGCGGAAACATCTGTAAACCGTACGAGTTAACAATGATAATTGAATGCACCGCTCGGTCTCGGTCTACGCGAGTTACAGCGTGTGCACAATGTGCATAGTGCAACAGCAACGGCGACGACGTTGTTAGTAGTTGTAATAGTACCGATGGTGGCCACATAGTGGGTACCTTCTGTGTGATGGTATATGTACCTATCATCGTATTAACCGATTCAGCATTTCGTAGGAAAATGCGTCTTCGTTTCCAAACACGTGCTCGTTCTCTCTCGTTCGTAGACTATCTCCCTCAGCACCGATGCATTACGCATAATTAATCCGACGATGGTATCGTTTCCTAATCTTGTATCTCTGCGTCCGTCGCGCGAATAGAATCGGCATTGCACGATTTTCCTTTCATCGGTGTAACCGGACAGTTTTTTCTCTCTCTCTCTCTCTGGTGCTTCTTTTCTTTCTCTCTTTCTCTCTCTCTTACTATCTCCATCTATCTATCTATTTATCTATCTATCTATCTATCTATCTATTTCTATCTCATTCGCTGCCTCTTTCATTTCACCTCTCTCTTTCTATTGGCGAGCCAAGAGAGATAGCGTTGGTTGGTAATCACGCAGCACGTTTAAACGCGCTGATAATCACGATAAAAGACCGACGACAATGAGATTTCCATCTCGGAAGTTGGAATCCCTACGGTGAAGCCCGAAGAAAGAGAGAAAAGGTTCAAGCTTCAATACTTGAAAGTCTTTGAACAATTGTAACGAGAATCTCCATGCATAATTCGTTCGTATATTTTAAAAAGGAACATATGTATATATAAATACTTATGTATTAGAGATCATTAAATGTTTAACACGTTGAATAAAAATTTATCGGTTCTCTCTCTCTTCTCTTTCTCTCTCACCACATAATTTTATTGATAATAATTTAAAATCGTTCGAAAATAGAAGGCTGCTACGTTCACGTTCAATCCAAACATATCCAACTATTCTTGCATTATTGATCCAATATTAATACAGTGCTAATATACTAATGCAATGCTATACGTGTGGGCTCATTTTAGTCTCATATCGATGGTAAATAAAGTAGTAATATTCGCTCATGACAAT